CCATTCTCTGTTAGCAGCTAGCCTTGGAAACATCAACAGTGTGCTTTGCCTGAACACACACACACACACACACACACACACACACACACACACACACACACACACACACACACCCCTGAACTCTACATAGACATTTTGCAATCTCTGGAAACATTTAAGTGTTCATCACATAAGCAGACTTGTCCTCTGCTATTGCAAGAAAGGTCTTTCCCGAAACCTCGGCTAGTTTAAACTGCCATCTCTCCCCTAGAGAAAACAAGGAGTCCCAGTCCAGACGATAAGCTCTGAAAACCCTAGTGCTACTCTGCAATGCCTCCTTTTCTGGAGAATGTACTAGAAAGCCTCTATAGTGGTCACCAGGATGTCTACTTGGATGGGCCCATATGTATTACCTATTTGGCCTGTTCAGACTTTGGCTCCATGAACAACTGCAGGCAGGGCTGACAAGAGGCTGTTTTAAGATGGTCTGTGATGTTCAGGACAACATCAAAGGTAAGATTAGGAGGAGTGGCTTCTCTCTCCTCTTTCCTAAGTCAGATATGTTCAACAAGACCTCTCCTGAGGCATTTACTCTTGTTATTTTTCTCTTGTGATTACAATAAGTCATTTATCCCCAAACAGATTTAAGAACAATAAACAAATACAAAAGGAAAGGAACATCTCATCAGTAACAAAGGCTGTGTCTAAAGCACTGAGTTTGGGCTCTTTTACATCTCTTTCCAAGCAAAGCAGGGGCCCTACAGAGAAAGGAATTCAGAAGATATGAAAGTTACAAAAATAGTAAGGGGCCATTTTGTGTCAGGATCTGGTCCTTTCTGAGAAGTGTTGCAGAGGACGGTCTTAGCACTTTGTTTGCATGGAGGTTATTTGTGATAGCTGAATTATTAGTTCGTAAGCCTATTTGCTGTAGTGAAAAGCTGTTAAATTGTATTCTCAGTATGTACTTTTCCTAAATTCAAGGGTCACATTTTGAAATCAAATTATAAAGAAAAAGGGGGGAGGACAGATCTGTATGCTACACTGAAAACTAACCCCCAAGGTGGAATGCCAGCTGGTCACATAGCAGTGCCTCCCCCGGTGATGCCAGCTAGAAAGGGAACCTGCCTGGCGCCTTGTGTGCCTCTAGTGGTGCTGGATTTTCTTTTCCAAGGCAGATAGAGCACAGATACTAAAACTGTGCAATTTGGCCCAATTATGTCCCCTTCTCAAGGATTTAATGAGACACTGGGAAGTACAATTCATGGGTGATAAGTAGTTCCTCTGCCCAGAATGTTTGTTAGACTGACAGCAGCATGCTTTTTCCCTTGCCACTTATGACTCAGATGAATTTTAATAGGAGCAAAAAGCTTTTATTTGTGCTGTAATTTCACTTAAGAATCATATCCTTCAGAAACTGGCAGACACATCTATGTCTTGATTGCAAAACACACGTTCAGGAGTAAAGAAACATGCAGAAGATGTTATTATTCAACCTGTCACAGTATCGCTTGGAACCTAGGCCATCAAAGCTCTTCTGTGGGGCCTCCCCTCACCCGCTTTAAATAGGCCCTGTAAAGAGCCACTTGGAGATTGCCACTGTCCCCATGCAGAATCAAAGTGGGAATCAGATTCTGCCTTAGCCTCCCTGCTAGCACGATGCCCACAGGAGGCTTTGAGTTACAGCAGCCTTCCTCCAACAAAATGGAGCTGCCCAGTGGGTGCTGCTTCTGGCTTACCCGGAGAGACTGGATCTGGTGGGAACCAGAAACCTGGCACTGGCTCCAATTCCCCACTTCAAAGCATTTTTTTGTGAGCAAATTTTGGTTCATATATTTATCTACATTTATCTGGGATGTTTCCTGTCCAGTAAGAATTGTCTTTACTAGAAGTGTTATGATTGCCTGAACCCATTGGCCCTCCACCTTTGTGAGCCACCTACATAAAGATGCCATGAAAACTGCTGTGCATGGCATTTTCTGTGTTTTAAAAATCTCGATAGCATCGAGTCTCAACCCAGAAGATATTCTTATATCTTGTCTTTCTTCTGTCATATCAGAAAAGGCTACATGATAATGTGCCTAAAAAGAAAAACATTTCTGATGTGACTACATTTTATGTCACTGAGAAATATTTGAATGTTACAGACTTTTCTTTTCTCAAAATGAAGACTGAAGCCTTTGTCTCAATTTATTGATCTACCCAGTGTAGCTGCTCTAGAGGCATGGGAGGTTTGTGACAGCAATTTGCTGCCATCTACTGGTATGCACACAGTGTCACTGCCTTTATCCCTGAGGCTGCTGGACTCACAGGATTTGACTTCCTCTGCTTTGTGCGCAGTGGAGTGTTCCTCAAGCAAAACTCTTGCTGTTTTCTTTATAAAGTTCTGAGATGGTTTTCTTAAAGATCCATGATGCTTTTTTATATATCATTAATTAATAACTTGTAGTTTCCTTTGTAAAAAAAACTGGCTGAATATGCTCCAGAGATAAATGATGTTGTATGCAGGGTTTTAGAATGTTTGACTTAAAGGATATTACTGTAACTTTAATTTAAAGATAAAACCAGACTTTAAAGTGCTGTTTTGGAAGTTAAGTTCATCATTTAACTTCCTTTATGCTTTTCTCTTTCAAGTACAAAGTGCACATTTTAACCAAACTTGCAGCAGAACTGAACAAATTCATGCTTGAAAAAGTAACCGAGGACACAAGCAGCATTCTGCGCTCCCCGATGCCTGGAGTGGTGGTGGCCGTTTCTGTCAAGCCTGGAGGCATGGTAAGAGCATTTCTGTTTGAGGGACATGCTGGGTTCAGACTTTCCCTACAGAATAATGGCAAATACAGTGCCCTCTGTAGCCTCTCCTAAACCATGGGATGCTATGGATAGTAGGTTATGCACTCACTCTGTCTACCTGCTTCACATCTGAGTTGTGTTGGTGACAGTACCTCTGAGAACCTCCTCCCAAGTGGTGTTGGAGTGGAATAGAAATGATGGCAGACATTCTTTCTCAAATTAGGGCTTTACAGAATCATTTAAATTGCTACTTATTCCCCAGCCCTCTGTATAGGAAGCATCCTTGAGGAATTCATCTGCCCAGCCTCATAACCTGCTGGTGAACAAATGTGTAGGATGCATACATTTTCTTAAAAATCAGCAGCTTAGCAGCAAAAGTAAAAAAAAAAAAAATGATTTAAGATGCAACTGGGAGATTTTGAGAGGCCCTTAAGTCCTTGTGTTTTTACTTCTGTGTAGGAAAATAACAGCCACATGAGGTAGACTTTCACGGGCTCTATGCTGATTCTAGTTTTTATCTTGAGTGAAGCCATTGGAATTTACCTAATTTTCTGTAATGATCATGTTAAGATGGCTCCTGATTTTTTTTATTAATACAGATAAAGTACCATGTTAATATTGAGAAAAACCATGGAGTTGATATTAGCGTCTAGAAAGAGTAAAAACAATCAAGTTTGGTTGTTTCAAATGATTAGTCCCCAAATTAACATGAAGCTGGAAACTGACTTAAGGTTGGCTTCCCCTGATGATGAAGGAGAACTACCAGTTTTTGTAGAAAAACACAAAGGGCCAGGCACCCCTGCCTTGCTGCGTTCACTTATAAGGCATGGATATTCCTAGAAGAACAGCCGATAAGGAGCTACCTGATACTAGTGTCAGGCTGTAGGAGAGGTGAGATGTGAAAGCTAGAAATTGACTGAGAGTTCTGGAGGTGCCTCCTTGTTTTCATACAGGGTTGGGATTGAAAGCAGGCTCTTCCTTGGTCTTGGATGTGATTGGCATTAACAATCACAAACTCTCACACTGCATTATCAGAGTAGTCAGTGAAATCTCTGTGTCAAAATGTGTAGGTTAGTGAACTAACTGTGAAGGTTTTTTGGTTCCCTCTACCCTGCAGGTTTTTCTTTCTTTTTTTGTTTGTTTGTTTTGTTTTTCTGGAAGCCACCCAGTCTCTATACTGCCAGCCTGAGCTTGCCAGTCTTAATTGTGTGGCTTTATTTAGAAAATCACATTTGTGTTCCTCCACCCTCATAAGAAGTGTTTACCTTCAGTCCTAGTTTTCTGACACCTGAGTCCAAGATGGGCAGAGAGGAGGGGGGTCAGCTCTGGCCTTGGAGGCTGCCATCCTGGCCTCCATTTGCCCACTTGTGACCGATTAGCTGGCAGTAAGTAGATATCAAGCAAGGCAGTGCCAGGGCTGCCATCTTGCCTTTTGACATATGCCGTCTCCTGGCATCACTGCTGGCCTTCCTACTTTCCACTCTGTGGTCAGCAAGAGGGAACAGTCTGAAGCTAGTCTTGTTTCACAGGGAGCTATCAGATTAAAAGTACCCACCACCCATTCAGTGTGGGTATTACAGAATGGCTGCAGGATGTTTTCAGAGAATATGGCCTGCTGTATGTGCTCTTGAAGTTGGAATTCTTGGAGTTCACCTTCTTTACAAATGCTATGTCTGTGCATGTACGTGGCTGGCCAGGTGCAACATACATGTCTTTTTATCCCTTTCTTTGGGTCCTCGATGAACTACAAAAAAAACCAATCATTTCTGTGTGTTTTCAGGAAAAATAACTAAGGCTAGGCAAGCACTCTTGTTTTTCTTTGCAGTTTTGTTCATAATTTACTGATCTTTTAGTAAGACTTTATAACAGAATAGTGGGTTTCTTTTGCAGAGGTATCATATGAAATTCTAAGTAACAAATTTCAGCTGCTTTTTAAAAACTAAACAATTTGAAGAGTGTTTTAAAACCTGAAAAAGAAGGATTTGGGTGGTTGTATAGAAGAGATAATACCTTCATAGGGCTTGCTATAGGAAAGTCTGAGAACCACTTCATTTGAAATACTTCCCTTGCCCTAAACACTGGAGTTGAATTTTATTCAAAATACTCCCTTAGGATCCACACAGCAAGAGTTTCTAATGCTTCAATCTATTTAACATTAGATGTAGCAGCCAGTCACTTTCCACAAGATAATAGGGTGGGGTCTTTAATGTATGTAGAAGGGATGTAAGTTGCAAACAAATCATAAATTTAATTCAAGAGACAGCTAATAGAACAATTTTTCTATCTACCTTCTGGAAATATTTTTATAGTGACCATCATTTCCATTTTCTATTGATATAATGCTAATCATAGACTGTAATACTTCTTTTATAAAATGTTATTATGACTTGATTTTTTAAAAACTTTTATCTTTAACAAAAATATCTAAAGTTCCTTGAGCATGTTGGTGCAGTACACGTCTGCCACAAGATGACGTCAGACTAAGTCGCTAAACTTGCTGCGTGGTGTTTCCCTTTGTCCTTAAAGAATAAATAAAGCCCTTATGTGCACATTTGTTTCTTTAGCCTTTTGAAATAAGACAAAAACTAATTAAAAAAAACAGCCAACCCAAGATAAGATTTTTTTTAATATTGCTTTTAATTAAGATTCTTTCAAGCTATATTCAGATTCAGCACTCACCTAAAATCTGCATCAGAAAGAATTCCCCTTACTGCATCAGAAGTTAGGGAGACACAACCCAGAAGACAGTTTTACATTTCTGACTTATGAGTTTTCAACATCAAGAGATAAAACTGCGACGTAAGTGCCCATTTCTGCCTTCCTGCTCCAAAGCCTGTTCACATCTGCAAATCAGCCAATTATTATGGACCCAAGATGAGGCCACCCCACCTGGTCCCTAAACTGGCATTTAGCAGAAAGGCAGTTGGGGTTTGGGACTGTTGTTTTCTTGGACAATGCCTTGGGCAGAAAATGAAAGCAGTAATAATGTCACACAATTTCACCAGCCTTTTCTTCCTTCTATGTGCTTGGGGGGGGGGGGGTAACCTCGGCAGAGGTGTGACCAGGAGACAGGACACACAGGTGCTCCACTGCAGAGCTTCAGTTGCAGCCTCCTGTTGTCTCCAAAGCTTGTGTAGTTGAGCCTGCAGCTAATCTTGGGGAAGGAGCACATGAACTTGGCAAGAGACTTCTTTTTCACTGCTCAAAGAACCAGCTTTGAAAACTCCAGAGCATTTAGTCATTCTAGACAACGACGAGGGTTAGGTTGGGCCTCTGGGTACCTGTGTGTCTGGCATTGCACACTGGTGCCTCTTGCAGCCCAGCATTCATTACTGCCTTTCTCTGGCAGATGAGCCAGGCATGCCCTGATTTACAATCAGAAAATGATGGCAATAATTAATTTACATATTTTATAGCAGTGACTGTTTAAGCAGTTTGAAGAGAAGCCAGTTTTGCACCCAAACTGCAGAGTGTATCAGCACAGACACAGTCACACACTCAGAAACACTTGTAAGCCTCTAAATCATGAAGCATCCAGAAAGTTGGGAGAATCATCTCCCAAGCACCTGTGTGCTCTCTGCTCACCTTAACCATATTTGCTTCAAATTTTACTAGCAATAAAATGTACATACCATGAAGTTGCCCCATGACCCCTCTACAATCTAATTCCTGCCTCATCTTCTTCAGAGGTAAGGACTCTCCTCAACTTGGCCTTTCAATCATTTTTCCACATAACATTTCTTTTGAAATGTTTAGGGATAGTTTTTGTTGTGGCTAACATTTGGATTTTTTTATTTTTGTAACTTAATATAATATAAATTATCAGCATAAGATAAAAATGTTTTGATGGTCAGTCTTTATAAAAGTCTTGTGCAGGCTTGGTAATGAGTTTATTTTTCAAGGAATGGTCTCCCTGGGAGGAGAGCGCCTGTTATCTTTGTAGCGTTTTTAAGGATGACCATTCTCAACCTTACCAAGATTCAAGAAACCTATTCTTTTGAATATGTATGTGTATATATATATATATATATATATATATATATACACACACACACACACACACACACACACACACACACACACACATATGTATATTGCTGAGAAAGAAGTGGTCATACATCATTGAGTCCTTTAAAACAACCTACTGAATTCACAAAGGTAACACGTCAGATTGGCCTCTTGCACAGTCTGTAAAACATGCCGGTTTCAACTTTTTCTCTTTGTAACTATAGGCGTTGGCTGTCAGTATGAGCTAAGTTAGAGGGCAGTAGGGAGTCATGTTTTTCTTCATTTTAAGGAATTTTTACAAAACCTGGACTTCATTTACATTGGCTGAGATCTGGATTCCTTCCTGAGCACTCCCCCCACCCCACCCCACACACATTCCCACTGCACAGTTCTAAGGGGTATGAGGGCAAAGCCAGGGGCAGCACCGTGCAGACACCACAGGCTTGAGTCCTAGAGCCCTCAGGCATGCTAAACATGTGGTCTCTCCCTGTCCTTTACCCTTCAGACTGAGTGAGCTGGGCAGGAGTGCCTCCAGATGAGGGTCAGCAGTTCTGTCCACTGCCCATCCTCTTTGTAATTTGAGCCAGTCCCATACTTGCTCAGATAGGGCAATCTCCCGGGGTCCCGTCTCTGTCTTTCCATGAGATACACATTCTCCTCCAGGAAGGATCAGGGCATATTTAGCAGCCCAGTTAAAGGAAGTTGGAATAATCAGATTCTAGCCTAGCTTTTTGTAAATTGAGGCTGCCTCCTTTAGACCTCAGGGACTTAATGTGTTGCATACCTGTATTCTAAGTGGTAAGCCCTTAAATGTGAAATGGGGGGATTTTCACTTGTGTGGTACAGTCAGGAGGTTTGATGTGGATCCCTGGTTTTAGGGGGACCAGTACAGCAGAAGGGGAGACTGCAGTGGGCCCATAAGCCCTCCGAGCCTTCTGTCTCACTTGGCAGAAAAACATAGAACACAGAACAACAAAAGAAGGCTCTTTTCCATAAAGGTTCACCACCCCCCATCCCCCGTGCCTCTTCCCCAAAAGGGGCCTGAATTTTTCAGCTGCGCACCGATTTGGTGCTCACTCTTGCAGGGAAACAGTTGCTGTCTGAACAGGCAGGAAACAGTTTTCTTTTAATTGCCGGAATCATTCGGAAGTGCTTCGTGCCCTGCTTCTATACAGCAGATGCTGTGCATTAATTGGCCTGCGTAGAAGTGACCCGGGGTTCCTTGCAGCGGGCCCAATTTTAGGCAGAGGGTTTAAATAGCTTATTTATTATTTTGTATAATCTGCCGTGCATTATGTGCTCCTGCATGGGTCGTGTTTCATGGTCTGCAGTTTCTAATGTCATGTGGGTTTCAAAACCCGTGTTTCTCTGGTAATGTACTAGCAGCAGGTAAGCTCAAAATACCATCCATCAGGAGCTAATTTTTTATCCAGATACTCCAATGACTGATGAACCTGTCTTTTGTATGAATGTTTAGCACAGTAGAAAGCCATATGCCACTGGCACAGTTTCCTCTGCATTCTTTACAGTTGCTAGAGAGTGGGCTTCTAGGGGGAGGGTGGGCACAGACTCGACGCCATTTGCATCTTCTGGCCTGTATTTTAAGCAATAGCACTTTTAACACATTCTTGGGTTTGGATGACAAAAGAGGGTAGGGACCATCTTAAAGGAAACCCAACTCCCATAACGATTTTCTCCCTCAGAAATAGGACTGTGCACCCTTAATAGGGAGCCTTGTTTTGTTCCTCCCCGTCTGTTGCAAACAGACCTCAGCCCATTAGAAGGGCCTCCCTTGTGTGGGAAGACCACAGCTGTTACTGTAAAGCTCATCCAGTCACTGTATCACCCCCATTTTGTGGCTCTGAAGGATGAAATTGAGAAATGGAGCCCTGTGCAGTCATCCTTTACTTCTCCAATTTTAGGCCTTTGCCATCATTTTCATGCTTTTATTCCAAATCAAATGACATTAGTGGGCTACAGCGCCTTCTGATGGATGTCTGTTCTCAAGCACAGCTTTTGAGGCTCCACTTTGAGGGGCTTCCTTTTAGGTTTGGCAGAGATCCCTCTTCTCATCCCCACCCTGTACTTTCTTTGAGCTTTCTTAGGGGTGATGGCAGTTTGCAGTCTGAACGATACATTGCCATGTGGGTCCCAGTCAGAGTGTGTTTTCTGAGAGGGGGCATGTGCTGGAGAAGGTTTTGTATCTTTTAATCTTTGTGGAAGGAGTGAAGGGGTCTTGGTAGAAGGAGATTGGGGGCTTTAATCAGAACCAAGATGTGGCCTAAATCATTAGCACAACAAAGCATACTATAAGCTTCAAGATAAAAGTCCCCTGGGAAAGGAGTCCTCTGAAAATAAATGGAACTTGATAGATTTCCATATCATTTATAACTTCCCTTAATTACACTTGGAAGACTTGCCAGTAAAACTGGAAAATTGGCAGCCTCTCTCCATTAGAGTCATTTTGCCGACCATGGCAAGCAGCTGGCTTCGCTGGATTTTATTTCCCATCACTCACAATTAATCATCAGCTGGAGATGTCTGAAACTCCTCAGCACAAAGCAATGCTGGGTGACATTCAGGCCCCTAAACATGTGAAAATCTGCTGAGTAAATGGACTGAGTTCTCTCACAAGCTTACTCGTTTGGGGCAAGCCTGGCTCCCACTTAATGAGGGCTGCTCTAATAATCTGATTCGAATGTGAACCTTGACCCTGTGTCAGAGGAGAGGATGCAATAAGTCGGATGAAAGCCATGGAATTCAGGTCTCCAAACTTTGCACCAATTAGACAGCCAAGAAGTACATCAGGCCGACTGCGTTCATCAGGAAGACTTGCGAGGCTTGTGACCATTTAGTAAGCCCCACTCTGGATACACCTGTCACAATCAGTAAGTCTTATCAGATGATTCACAAAACTGTTAAGAGAAGTGTGTGTGCAGCCATGCTGCAGGGCTGGCCCAGCTACAGGTACTGTGATGGGGACTGCCCAGCTCTGTTCAGGCTTTTCAGGCCTGCAGTTGCTGCAGTGGGTGTGTGCTACATGTTCTGCAGGTGTGGACAGCACAGGCAGGGAGGCTTCCTCTTGGTGAGAACTGGAGCCTGGCTAGGAGCAGTGATAGTCACAGCCTGGAGACTGCATTTTTTTTTTTTTTATGTGTTTGTAGTACATTGGTTTCCAAGAGATGAAATAAGTTGAAATCAGATCAAGCTTGTCTGCGTAACTCTTTTTATACTTGCTTTTGCATGCATGTGTATAGCATTAATCCAGTTGAACCAAACATATCACTGTTTTGTAAGGCACCAAGGGACATTTTCCTACAGCCGCCTCAAGATAATGGCCTCTAAACATGGCTGAGAGGAAAAAGCAAGCTAGAGGTGGAAGACATGGGTTTCTTGTCACAGCTAACTGATACAAGGAGACCAGCAGTGAGGGGAACTAAGAAGTACGTGGGGTTGGGGGGAAGTAGATGGAGGGCCCAGGTCTGATTCTATGATTCAATTCTATAATTGCTGCTGGGGTGAGAGTCAGGCAAAAGGCAGGTTCCCTTCCCGTCAGAAGCTTGTTTTTCATCAAATTACCAGCTTTGCAATTGGGGTATGGGGGCAGGGGCTATGTCAGCTTTGAAACTTCTCATTTCTGATCAGATTAAATAATTTGGGACCTAGTCTTGCACTCACACTTACAAGCATCCAGAGCCATCCAGGGAGGATGATCATGGTGGCAAGGCATCCTAAACTGGCCCAAATCTTTCTGCCCCCAGGCTCTAGCACGGTCTTGTGGGGGGGTGGGGAGCTGTGGCCTGGTGAAGCTGTCCCTTAATGTTCAGTGGGTATTGTTGGCCCCTAACCATAACCACCGGAGACCTCCAGGCTTCTTACAGAAGACTGTAATGACACTGGTGTGTGTGTGTGTGTGTGTGTGTGTGTGTGTGTGTGTGTGTGTGTGTGTGTGTTGAGGACGGGTCAGGGGACTGCTTCTGTCTGGCCAGCAGATCGTGAGCAGTGTGGTAAGAGGAAATAAGCAGTGATAGGTAATACAGCTGCTGGCAGAGCAGAGCGAGGCAAGCCTATCCATGAGGAAGCTGATGGGATAGGGTGAGGAGACTCTGCGCCAACCCTGGGCTCTCAGCTGCTCACAGAGAAAGCCAGGGCAGGTGGGTATGTGGAAAGCTACCACATAAATACCCATGGTGAAGACTTGTCCCTCTGACAGGAAACAGTGACCAGAGCCCAGAGGTAGAGATTTGATTCCTAATTTTGGAAAGAATTTCAAGGTGTCCTAAGGAGCCATCTGTGCTGTTACCTGCAGGCCAGGACCAGGGACATCTCAGCCTGGCTGCTGGATAAGCTCTCAGTTCTGCTCTGGCCATAGCTGGGCCCATAGGCCTTTCCTGTGTGCCTCAGTGACACCTGCCCTTCTCGGGGCTTTCTTGACCTCCCACCTGCCTTTGAAGAGAGAGAAACGACTCTAACATGATGGCACGAAGCAGTAACTATTCTGACACCTCCGGCCGGGGCATCTGCGTCATCTTGGCGCTGCCTTCTCCTGTCCCCCACACTTTGAAGAACAGTCCTTTGGAGGTGCTGCTTCTCGGGGCCTGCACTGCAGATGCCAGGTGAAATGAATCAAAAGCGGCAGTGAGCACTGTGCTCGAAGCCTGCTTGTCAGCAGTGGCTCTCCTCCGTGCCAGCACCAAAGTCTTGGCATCTCCTTTCTTCCTATATTCCCGTGCCAGAAAAACACAGCCCACCACCTGAACAGCACAGGAAAGAATGCACAGGCCTTCAGTACTCATACTGCCAGAAAGACAGCTTGTGCCACACAGGGAGCCAGGAGGGGACTTGGAGATCATTTGGGGATGGCAGGAAAGAACATTCTCCAGGTCCTTCTGCGGCATTGGCCAGCACAGCCATAGTACTGTGGCTGTCCAGGAGCCCCAGCCAGCATACCCAGCAGTACTCTGTGGAGCCTTCAGCCCACCACTTCATAGGGCAAGAGACCCTTTTCCACAAAACAGAGAAAGAACTCCTGGCCCAGATCCTTGGTGCTTAATCATTAAGGCCATTAACGTGGCTTTTAGTCACAGTTGACTCCTGGATGGACGTCCGAGATTAACTCTGTAGGTATGTGTCTGCTCAGCCTGGATCTCCCTACTGGGCAGAGGAAAGCCAAGCATCAGAACATGGGCTTGAACAAGCACCCGTGGAGCACTTAGGCCTTCTTGTAAGGACTTGGTATAAGTGTTAGTACTTGCATTTCTTGTAGGTAGACAGCAGTCCTGTTAGCCCTAATGCTAGGCTGTTGTTATCTTCAGCTCCCAGGAAAAAGGCAAACATGTACCTTTGGGTAAGAGATTACTGAATTCTGATTCCTTTGTGGTATGCATCATCTCTTTAAAGCAGACAAGTTGCTGGTGATGTTTATGCATAGCTGTGTAATCACCACAGTCAATTGCAGAACATTTTTATCAACCTGTAAAGAAAGCTTTACCCTTTGGTAGCCATACTCCTTGTCCAGCAAATCCAGATAAGCACTGAGTCCCTTGGTCCTTAGGTATCTGCCTGTCGCAGACATGGCCAGGAGGTGGAAGCACTGGTTTTGTAGCATCTCTGGCTGACTCCTAGGGCCCTAGGGGAGGCCCCATATGCTACACTTGTGATCTTCCAGTACAGGCTTTTCTAATGAGAACTTGACAACAGAGTAAATGGTCTTTCTCTGCTGTCTCCTCAGATGTACTGTAGTGGGAGCTATGAGAAGTTGCGGGTGTTTCCATGACCAATCAGTACATTTGACAAATAATTTAACGGCTTCACTCTTGGATGTTACTACAAAATTAGAACGTTCTTAAAATATCTATTTTTAACCTATTTTCCAGGTAGCAGAAGGTCAGGAAATCTGTGTGATTGAAGCTATGAAAATGCAGAACAGTATGACAGCTGGGAAAATGGGCAAGGTATGTCCTGTAATGGATGTAGGACTTTCTCCACCTTTGAGACATGGTTTGGTCTCCTTAAACAGAATGTCAAGGTGATCTCTGCCACCTGTCCCTTTCCTGGGGAGGATACTAGGACTCGGGAGCTCCACTCTGTCAGTGTGTGTCTGCCTCCTGGAGAGGTGGCTTTCCAGGAAGGGGGTCTGTGTGTTATGTTCAGGTAGTCAAAGCACAATTGTTCTCCACATTGTCTTTCAGATGAAAGGGTTTTTAATTTTTAATGTTGACATCTGTCTCGGAGGCAGTTAGTTATCTGAGACTTAGGTGACTCAGCAGGAAATGGTTTTACAGAGAGCAAAAATTAATGTAACTCTTCAAGATAATTTCTCCTCGAAGGAACAATTCAGTTGTAGATGGAGGAGCTGAAGCCCCATGTACATGTGAGGGGCTTAATGATTCAGGCAGAAAAAGAGAAAGAGGTGTCAACACTAAAATAGTTAAGAGTAAAACTTGAAAACAGAAAAGCAGTGGCTTTGCTGTTCTTCTTGTGATTAAAAAGATGCACATTCAGAATCTGTCCCCTTTCAGTATCTATATAGAATGATTGGGAGGTGAAGACAGCAGCAGAGGGTGGCTGTGTCCTATGCTGTGGCCTGCACCATGGCCACACTTTGGGGACACTGGGTTCAGAGAGATGTCAGTCACAACCAAGTCTGCATCACTCAGCTTCTGTCTGTCTTGTGGTCTGTTATCCCAAAAGACAATGAGATGGATTCTCAGACGGTGGCCTAGAATTATCCTACCTGCTCCTCATGGGGAAATTACAAGGCCCCCTGCAGATTCAGTGGCCCCAGGCTAGAGCAGATTAAGAGAGCTAGGCAGTGTCCATGGGCCTGTAGGGTCTTAACAGTTAAATTATAAGCTTCCAAAAATATGGGCACAAAAAATATGAGCTTTGGTTCATGTAAAACTCATTTTACTTGTTCTTTGCAAACAGTGTACTAGTGTCATGGTAAGAACTTGGCCTCGTCATAGGGACCAAGAATAGGTGTGTAATCAGGCCAAGGGCCCTGTGTTGAGGTACTGACTCAGAATCGCCTTAATTTCTGAGGCAACATGGGGCCCAATGAGCTGAGTGTCTTATTTGCTTGCTGTTTTGGGAGAACCACAGGAGCAGCCTGGCTGCTACCTCATCCTTAGCCCAGAACTGCTTGAAGGAGTGCTGTTGGGGCAAGTCTGCTTTTTAGCAAGACCCAGCTAGCACAGGTCCCTCCTATTCATTCATTCCAGCCCTGGTCCACAGGCCTCTGGAGTTCAACCTGGTAAGAAAAAGGAGTGCCCCTGGCTGGGTCTGGAGCTAGTAGTTCGTGCCTGGAAGGGTCAGGGTGGAAACAGAGTCACAATGTGGATCGTCTACAGCCTAGTCAATGTGCTATCAATTAAACAAAACTACATATCACCATCCACTTCACTATACATAGCATCTGCCCATCAAGGCCTTTGAGTATTTACACTGCTTTACATAGCTTTATACTGGTCTTAGGAACTCCGGGCTTGAGTTTAAGAGAAGAGCCTGTCCCTTCTTCTCACAGTGGAGGGACAGGGCACAGGCCTGTGCAGCAACCTGGACAGTTCCTAGCATTTTCATTTGCTTAATGCCAATATGGCCAGTTAGGTCAAACCCACTGTTTGTTCATGGCTTCAGCAACCATTTCCAAGGAGGGAAATGATGACCTCTTATGCACTCCAGTCTTCTGCCTGCTCCTTCTAAATCTGAACACAAACCTGGAGAAGCAAGACAGGATTATGTTCAGGAGAAATCAGAAGAATAAAACAGTTCCACATTCTGTGCCACTCAACTGTAGTAGGGTACTGAATTATTTAATTACTTCAAAAGGAGGGAAATGATCAGGCTAAAAGATCTCCTTTCTATTGGTACCTGTTGGGATTGCTGTGTGTCTGTTTGGTTTCTACCATGACACTAAATACACATTCTAGTCTCAAAACCATAGGATGAGGCAGGGATGGAATGTGTCAGTCACCAGCATGGACATATCAGGGGCCTGGGAGCAGTCCACAGCTTGCATTCTCTGAGAATTTAATTGGGCTGAGTGACAGGCCGAGGAGTTAAGCACAGGCTTCTGTAGGAACACTCCTGCACTCTGGTTCCCTTACAGAGACAGATGTGAGCAGATGGTCTATGTTTTCGGGCCTAAGGCCCTTACTTCTCAAAAGAAATTGGGATGGCTGGCCCTCTTGTTCCCACTTGTTTCTCACTCTTCCCCGACCCTTTTAATTCAAGGTGAAGTCGGTGCATTGCAAAGCTGGAGACACAGTTGGCGAAGGAGATCTGCTCGTGGAGCTGGAATGAAGTATTTCGAGCCTTTCAGTCATCAGTGCTTTAATTAGCATTTCTATTATTCTCTAACCCTCAATTTGTTCAAGCATTTACAGGAGCACTCCTGTGCAGCAGGTTCTACAGCATCATATTTATTCCTTAGAAGAGGCAAAACTGACATTCTGCCAAAAAAATCACCAATGGAAATTTTTATTGATATAAATACTTGTACATATGATTTGTACTTCTGCTGAGATTTCCTAGTGTCAAAATTAAATCAATAAAACCAAGCACTTGTCTAAATATTAGTTTGCCCTTTTTTTCTGAATGAAGACAATATACACAGAGGCAACAGGCTGTGCCAATTGACTGTAAATACTAGCATTTCCTTATGATCCTTTAAAAATTTATATAAATTCCAGTTCTGCTTCCAATTTTATAATCTGATTACCTTCCTTCTTCCATCATTCAGGACAGATTCCCAGGGCTCATTATTCATGAATTCCTCAGACCAGGTAGCAGAGATGAAGGGTCTGGATGACTCCTTCTGTGTGGGTCCACACAGAAGTCACACGGGATGACGGAAGAGATGGATCACCATTTGGGGGTCTGTAGATTGACACAGGGTGCTGCCTTCACTGATCCAATGACAAGCTTGCTGTCCAGGTCCCTTTCCTCTCTCCCCATGGCCAGGAGTCCTCACCTTCACTGTTAGGTGCAGGACAGCCATCCCATCAGCCGATACCCATCTTTGCCTTTGTTTTGTGAAGCAAGTTTCCAATTAAGAAAAAGGGGCTAAAAATAAGTTGTGTTTCTGTGCCAGTAGCAGTTAGTGATCAGTCCACCATTATGTTGAAGAGTGAGTGAGCTCTTAGCGGAGTACCAGGGTGCTCAGCCAGCAGCTGCATTTGGGGCTGCAATTCTTGGAATCCATTTTCTACTTTACTAGGAGGCAGAAGCAGAATCATGTGCGACTTGCATCTACGCTGACAGATTATCAGATGGAGGTGGATGGTAATTGGTACTTCGTGTCTTCCTAACATTATTTTAAGTGCTGTTTGTATTTGGAAGCAAAGCGTTCTGCCAGGCCCGAGGAACAAATTACTAATGTGTTGATTCTTCTGAAAGGCCTACCCCCAAGAGCTGTACCTTCAGGTGGCAGATATGGGTTAGGCTGCTGAGAGCTGGGCACCCATCAACGACAAAGTCTGAGATCTCAGCTGTCTCCCAGCGAGCCACTGCTCCTGACTTTGCTGAATTAGAATGAAAAAACACCTTCTACCAAGTAAGTACATCAAAAAGACCAAACAGCAACAGTATACTTATATTTTAATGGCTGTTTTAATAGTTTGTGTGTGATCTGGAAACTGAAGAGTGATGGAGTACATAGTCTAGGTGCAGCATGCTTTTCTCGAAGGTGGTTTCCATTGAGCCACCCCAAACCAGCATTTCCCACCAATTTTTTTTTTTCTTTTTTTGAGACAGGGTTTCTCTGTGTAGTTTTGGTGCCTGTCCTGGATCTCGTTCTGTAGACCAGGCTGGCCTTGAACTCACAGAGATCCACCTGGCTCTCCCTCCTGAGTGCTGGGATTAAAGGTGTGTACCACCACTACCTGGCCTCCACCACTTCTTTCTAGATTTCATATGTGGGAATCAGTACATTCAGCTTCTGAGATCTAACTGCAGCCAGGTCTTTAGTCACAGAAGATGCCGACTTAAGGTTAGAGCAAAGCAAATCAAAAAAGGAGTACCAGATGCTCTGTAACTGGCATTTAGGGGACTTCAGAGTGTTTCTCATCTAGTACCTGCAAACTCAGGAGCTCCTTGAATAGCAAGCACTAGTAAGTAACATCAGAGCATGTGCAAAATTGTGTCAAGAGACCTTTTGTCAACATGTTTTATAGACAGATGTTAAGCCAGGAAAGCTCTGCTTATGCCAGGCAGCCACGGGGCTCCTTCCATCCTGTTAGCATCCGGGGCACTAGCCCCTCACCTGCTTTCCCGAGGGTTGTAGCGTAGCCCATGTGGGCCCTCGGAATCATAGCTTTTATGGTAGGGGAGATGTAGCCACTCAGGTTCGTAGGTGGCCGTACTGTACACGAAGCACTGGAGGCTGTCCCCAGGGCCACCAGCACCCTCCCACTCAAGCACCCGCACCTGCAGGGCTGTGCGCTGGTACATGTTGGGGCAGCCTTCGAAGTCATCCAGGAAACGCAACATCTGTTCATCTACCTTGTAGATCTCACCTGCCACACAGTGGCCCTTGCCTGGCAGGTGAAGCAGCCATGGTATGTTGTGCTTGCCGGCAATCACCAGTGGGAAGGACTCAACTGTGCAGCCCTGGCCTCGGAAGGCTGCTGAGCCATGTGACTGGTCCAGCATGACTTTGTGGTTGGGCTGGCCTCGTTTCAGGGTGCCATACACGAAGATGTGGGCCATCTAGCTGTGGACGCTATGGAGGAGAGAGCAAGTAGGCATGTCAGCAGGTGAACAGCTCCCTCGGGGCATCCTTCAGACTTTGAGGCAACACCATCACATTCACTCCACTCTGCTGGCCCAGAGTGTAAGGAAGAGAAGCCACAATGTCCTAGTTAAACTTTGCCTATGGACACAGAAGCTCATATTGTTTTCATGTTATGAAATGTTTTCTCTAGCTATTTAAAAAAAAACTGAAAGAGGCACTAGGCCAGCCTGCCTTGGAGTTTGCAATCTTGAATCTAGAAAGAGGAGCAAATATCACTGACTTTAAAAATCTGGGCTGGAGGCAAGGTGTGGTGTGACACACACCTTTAACTATAGCACTTGAGAGGGAGGTAAATCTGAGTTCCAGACCAGCCTGGTCTGCACAGCAAGCCCTAGGTCAGCCAAGGCTATCTAGTGAGACAAAATCTGAGCTGAGGGTGTAACTTAGACTCTAAGTCCTAAAGGAAGAACACTTACTAAGCACCATGGTGTGTATATGGCAGGGAGATCTTCCATGTGTTCTAAGCACTCAGAGCTCAAGTGATCCTCCTGCCTCAGCTTTCTGAGTAGCTGGCATTAGAATATCACTACACCTGACAAACAGCACCTACAGCAATGCTAAGGTAGGAAGAGCAGGTATGTTAGCCCCTCTGTACCACCAGGGCAGACTGATCCATATCTCACAAAGATCTCAAGCACAGCCCACCTATGGAGACAGCCCCTGAGCATCTCAAGTGGGAGGTCAGAGTGGGGCTGGGTGTGGGAGCCCGTTTTCAGGTTCCTCATGGCTTTACCCAGCAGGTCCACATAGAGGATGATTAGGACCACGGGCCTAAGTGCAGGTATCTGAGATGGTCTGTACTTGGCTGTGCTGGGGGAGGAGGTCTTTTGCTCCACCCCTTGGCGTCTCTATAAATTCCCTGGGGCAGAGACAGTCGGGGCCCATTGGAAAAGGTTCCAGGCCTTCTCGAGGCTATCCTTTATTTTCTGTTTATCTCCTCAATATTCTCCGCAGTATAAATCCTTCTATTTAATATTTCCTGCTGCTCAGACTCAAGAAAACTCTGGGGAGCTGTGGGGTTGGTGGGTAAACGCCCCACAGCTGGGATAGAAAAAAAAGCCTGCATTTATCATTTCATACCCAACATGTTCTTCTCCACCTGACCTGCCATCCTCCTGAATGGCCTGGCACCATTTCTGTCCAGGGCATCTGACTTCTGCACTGGAGCCATGCATATCCACTAAGGCACACAGGGCACTGGAGTAGGAGTGCCTCTCTCTAGCATGGTTTTGTTGTTGTTGGAATTTAAAATTGCTCTGTGTGCTTTGTTTTGCATATGGGCCTCCTGCTCAGGTTTCTGTAGTGGTAGTTCAGCCCCTCCTTTTCTGGAAGCCATCAGGATGTCCTTAGCCACTTCCGTGTTAGAGCTGTCCTGTCCTTGGACTCCTCAGGGCTGACAAACCCTGTCTCCTGGTGAACAGTGTGGCTGGAAAGGAACTGAGGGACTGTTGTCCTGAGGGGGTTTAGGTGTGCTAGGGACTTGCTGGGATGCCCGAGCTCTTCTTGTGTCTTGAAACGAGGCTCTTACGTTCCCTGGCCCTTTGGTTTCTGAAAAGTGGTGATGATGGGGATTCAAGCGAACCCTTGGTATTCACCGCTCTGGGAGCTCCAGCCTGAAAGCTCCTTGGCACGGTCACTGGGAAGTTGGTGCCCTCGCTTCCACCACCTCCTGGTTCTACTGATAAATAGGTGGCAGTCTTCCTGAGTTGGGTGTGGGTCTGTCTCTGCTCCTTGTATAGCCCCCAAGCCTTTCCACACCAACAGCTTATACTTCCAGAGCAGCAACTAGCTCATGCCTCCTTGGCCCTCCCTGTGCAGGAACATAGTCAGTCACCACTCCCTTTCATGTTCTATCGTTCAGAATTTCTTTGCCTATTCTCTTTTGTCTCTGCACATTGAATGGATATATCAGTCTATTTTATGTGACTGTAAAATGCCTAAAGCAAGGCAACTTTATAAAGCAAAAAACTTTTTTTCTCTAATTACTGCAAGTTCAAGGGCCCAGACCTAGTGATGGTCTTATTACTGGAAGATTCCTAGATACTAGGAGGTGAAGGCACCACAAAACAGAACTTGATTTGGCTTTGGGTTCTATTGGGCACTGATCCCAGTACTGCTGTATGTCACCTCAGGGCTCTGTAAGGAAGGAGGCATTTCCTCATTTAACACATTAGAAGCCAAGTCAGAAGCCTCAGAGGAAGGTTCCAAGGCAGTAATGGGAGCTGAAGGCCTGATGCTCTGCTGCTCAGAGGAGCTCAGGGCTAGGACCATGACTAAGGAGCACGTGGCTTTGGGACAGTTTCCGAAGGCTGTTACTTCCTGCACTCCTCTCCCACCGTTTGTTCGAAATATATTTTGATGAAAAACAAATAGAATTTTATGCAACTGTGATAAAATCTACCCAACAGAAAACCTTTTTTCTTAAACTTTTTTCTTCCTAACTGCTTTTACATGTGTAGTGGGGTTACCATGGAAGTACACCATTGAGAAACAGATCTGTAGCCAAATTTTATCCATTAAATTTCCCCTTAATCACTATTCTACTGCCCATCTCCTAGAGGTTTGCTATCTTATCCACTTTGCATAAGTGAAAGCTGACAGCATTGCCTTTTATGGCTGGCTTATTTCACTTCCTGACATGTCCTCAGGGTCCATTCATATAGTGTGTGTGTCAGATTTACTTTTTAAAACTAAATAATATTCCACCATACAGACATCCCACAGTTTTCTTACCCTATCTGTTGATGGACACTTGGATTGGCTGCTGTCAATAATGAATGCTTCTGTGAACATGGATGTGCAGGCTACCTCTTTTAGATCCTGCTTTCATTAAGTTTGAGTATACTTATCCAGAAGTAGTTGGTTCACACAGTAATTGTTTTCTGTGTTCTGAGTACTGTTTTCTGTGGCTGTTGTACCTTTCTACCAAAATAGCACAGGTTCCAACCTCACTTCTCCGTCAGCAGTGGTTGCTTCTAGATGGTGGCCATCTCCATGAGTATTCAGTAGTGTATCACTGTGAGTCTGATTTGGTGTCCTCAGTGCATGGTGGCCATCTCTGTGAGTATTCAGTAGTGTATCCCTGTGAGTCTGATTTGGTGTCCTTGGTGGATGGTGGCCATCAGCATCTTTGCATGCACTTGAGTGGCCATTTGTATATCTCTGAGGACTGTCTTTTCAAAGTCTTTGCTAAACTGTTTGTGCCATGCTTTAAAGAATGGATAATCATCCTCTTTGGATACATAATCTACACTTACTTTCTCACATCTGTAGGTTACCTTGTCATTCTGCTAATTATGTCTACTAATGCACATCAATTTTAAATTTTAATGTATTCCAATTTATTTTTAATTTTGTTGCCTATAAATTTTGGTGTCATATCCAATAAATCATTCTCAAACCCAATGTCATGTGGCTTTTCTTTCTTTCTTTTTTTTTTTTATCTCGTTTTTTGAGATAGGGTTTCTCTGTGTAGCCCTGGCTGTCCTGGAACTCCCTTTGTAGACCAAGCTGGCCTCGAACTCACAGAGATTCACTTGCCTCTGCTTCTCGAGTGCTGGGATTAAAGGTGTGTACCACCACACTCAGCTAGTCATGTGGCTTTTCTAACTTAAGCTCTTAAATTTAGGTCTTTGATCCATTTTGACTTTACTTTTTGTTTTTATGTAAAGGTCTGACTTCATTAACTTGCATATAGATATATAGTATCATTTGCTGAAAGAGCTGCCTGTCCACACAAAATGGTCTTGGAATTTCCTGCAGATTTTTTTTTTTAAACTATACATGCAAGGTTCTACTTCTAGACCCTCTCTCCTATCCCATTTCTCTACTAGGTTTGTTTTCAGGCTATTAGCAATATATCTATTTTAAAGACAGTGTTGAGGGTCTAGCGCAGACTCACCCTACCTGCCACCATCCACAGATCCTTTCTGCAGCACATCCAACTTGTCTGCCCAGCAAGCACTCCCACATGCTTCTCCAGAGTCTAACCCAATGAGCCTCCCTGTCACCACCTGTCCATGAGCCCTCTGCACAACCCACCAGACCTAGCCCAAGTCCCACATCCAGGTCCCTGGCCTAGTCTGGCCACCCCTGCCTGCACTGTGATCTATCTCCAGTCAGGAACCACACTCCTTGCCACCAACCACAGGTCCCTCTATTTCTATCTCCACTTCCAACCCCTCCACTCAGCTAGAGCTTCAACACCTTTCTCCAGGGTATAGCCAGGTGAATCACCACGATCCTCCCCAACCTGCCAGGTCTAGCCCAGGTCCCACATCTGCCAGTACCCAGGTTCTGTTTGGCCACTTCTCCTGCACTGCAATCAATCCCTACAGTTCTGCCTGGAACCACCCTACCTTTATATTCATACCACATAACCCAAAGGTCCCTCCCATAACACTTTCAACCTTTCCACTCAGCCAGATCTACCCCCATACTCTAGGCTAGGTGCAAGAGGCAATTCCTGTACACTAGCTCAGCTCCCCCGCCCCAACTGTCCATCTGAAGCCATTTCCAAATTCTAGGCCCAATCCATCCACACGTCCTCTCTTCTGTCCCAACCTGCTCTGTCCATATCAGACTCAGAACTAACAAAAGAAGTCCATGTGCCCAGATACTGCAAAACTACAAACAATATGAAAGATAGCCAGTATCTACTCTCTAAAATCTACCAGTCCTATAGATGTGTTTGCCAGTGAGAATTACTTAGATGAACCCAGGACAATCATAAATTTCATCAAAGAATTCAAGGAATTTAAAGAAGATACAAACAACTCAATGAAATAAAAGAGAATAAGTCTGAGTGAAGCCCAAGAAAGCACAAACATAAGACTGATGGAAATGACAAAGACAACCTAGGACTTTCGAGAATGGAATTCAATTAGGAGATATAAACATTGAAGCTGAAATGAGGATGGAATTGTAAA